TATATATGTATATATTTAATACATAATTAATATAACTTAAATAAATGACATTCGAAAATTAAAAATTAAAAATTAAAAAATTAATTCGAAAATAATTTATCAATCAGTTGCGTGATGAATTGATATACTATAAAGCTCATAAATTTTCATCAATATCATCACATTTTCTTCGCGAAAAATATTGTTATGTGTGTGTGTGTGTGTGTGTGTGTGTGTGTGTGTGTGTGTGTGTGTGTGTGTGTGTGTATTTGTATGTGTGCGTGCTGCGCGCGCGTACGCTATACAAAAAAAAAAAACGACACCCATGTAAAAGACAATTGTTATAAAATGACAATCGCTAAGAAAACTCTGATTATTGCAACTTGTCAGTTTTAAATAAACAGATATGATACGCAAATACGAAACTCCTTCCTATGTTTAATCAGATTGACTGTTGATCGTTATCATCGTGTCAATCCGTCAACCTTATCAAATTTAACATATTAATTATGAGAATTGATTAATTTACGAGAAGACGATTTATGAAAAATAAAGTAGGAATAAGTTATTTGCGCATTTAGCATTTAAATAATTTTTGTGTGCCTTTAATTTTATATTCATAATTTTTGCAATTGTTGAATAGTAATACAATTTTAAATGAATATTAAAATGAATAAATTTTATATTTAATTAATTATGCGCATTAAAATGCAATCAATTGTACGTAATATCTTCTTTACTATCTACGATGATAATATACTTTCTTATAACAGGAGAATCTTTGAAATATTTAACGATACGTTTGGACACTTTTGAAGATATACAAACTATGTTCCAAAAGTAGCAAATTATTGACGATATATTGATTAAATATTGAGGACATATGGAGCTAATATTTTAACAATATTGTGCCAATAATTGTACTACTATTAGAATATTGAATAATAAGTGTATGTTGAATAATAAGTGTATGCAGGATGACTGATAATTAATGATTAAACTCTCGTATAAAGACAGACTGGACTAAATTGAATAAAAAAGCCTTTGCAATTTTCATAGTAGTGGACGAGATATTAATTTCCAAAAATCATCGAATAAATATGTATCCCTCCGTTCGACCATTAACTATTACAAAAATTACAAAATGATAAAGAACATTTCTACTCAATTTA